AGTATAACGTAACCACATTTATTTAAGAATGTATTCCAATATGAAAGGCAAATTTCAACAATGCAAAAACTGCAATTATGTTTGCACCAACCTAATAAAAATTATTTTTTTATTTTAAATTTGGTGTTCTTTAGTATATTCATAAGGTTGTGCAACTGTCATGACTAATTCCAGAACATTTCATTGCCCCCCCTAAACAGCCCCCCCATATCCATTAACACATTCTTCATATTTTCACCTCTGTCTTTTCCCGTAACAATCCTCTAACAACCAATAATTTACTTTTTATATATGTGCATTTGCCTGTCATGTATAGCTTTTGAACACTTGGATTGTGGCCAGTCCAAATTTAAACGAGCTATAATTACACAATGGATTTTGAATACTTAGTATTTTTAAAAAGTAAAATATCTCAAATTTTATGTTAAAATGATAATTGTTTATATATTGGAGATTCATATATTAAAATTAACTTATTTTGTTTCATTTTAAAGTATATTTGTGGTTTACATTATATTTCTACTTTCTAGACAACACTGGTCTAGAACTTATATTTAGTAAGGACAATAAATGTGTCCCCCATGGCCTCAGTTTCTCATTGTCTTTCTAGTCTCTTAGTTTCCATGGCAGCCCTGCTCTGTGAATGATATACCCCAAGCTTCAGGATTTTTTTTTTTTTTAACTGCTAGATGGTGGAATCTTTCCTATTTCTTGGGCCTTAGAATAGCAGGAAAAAGATAAGTCATTTATTTTAAATTACGAGAAAATAATGGCAACTGAAACCTTTTAAGCCTCATTTCAAACAATTAAGAATTGAATTTCAGGGCCGGCCGAGTGGCGCGATGGTTAAGAACTCGCTTGGGATGCCAGAGGGCCCCGGTTCGGATCCCACATATGAGGGCCAGTGACACTGCCCTCTACAGCTAAGATGCTGAACAACAGCTCAACCTGGAGCTGGGCTGCCGTGGGTCGCCGGCGACGGCGTGGGCTGCAGTCCCCGAGGCAGTGGGTTGCCATGGGCTACCGTGTGTAGCCAGCAGCCGCAGTGAGCGGCCAGCAGCCGCAGTGAGCGGCCGTCCAGAAGCCGGCGACTGATCTGCCTCGCCTGGGAAGAGCGCAATGATGGTGCCAACTTGGGCCAGTGAAGCAACGTCCTCCACAACTAGACTGAAGAACAAAACGACAGCAACTTGTCTGTTCCCCTTCCCCCAATTCCCCAGCACTGTTCCCATCCCCCCAATTCCCCAATTAAAAAAAAAAAAAAAGAATTGAATTTCACATTTATTTGCATGACAACGCTAAACAATGACTAAATTTTGGTAGTTGTGATTTGACAAAGAAATCAATAGTTTCTTTATAGCATGTGAGAATTATCTGTAACTTTGGGAGTCATTTAAAATTACATTTGTCTTATCTGAAATTTGAATTTAAATTTTGTTTTAGAACAAATTTTCCAGAATAAGGAGAAGTGAGACTAATGTGATAAATTATCCTTTAAAAAAATACAGTATTTTCTTTGGGTGGAAGTTTTCTGCTCCAACATTATTATCAAAGTTGAAATGGCTGTTATACATTGAGCATTTACTGTGTGGAGGGCATTGTCCTGTGTACTGTGTTAATTCATTAAATTCCTCCATGAAACTTTATGTGGTAGGTACTATTATCCCCAATTGACAAAGGATGAAACTGGGGTACATACAGAAAGGTTAACTGGCTGAAGGTCACATAGTAAGTTTTAAACAGGTTAAACAACAAAATACTTTATAGTTAGTGCTTATGTGATAAAATCATTCAGTTTAAGTTTTTCCCTCTGGAATGTCAATTCCACCTAGGCTGGAACTTAGTTTTGTTCACTAACACTTTCTGGCATGTAGTAGACCCCAGGAATTATTTTAAAGAATTTTGTGGTGATGATATCAATTTACCAGGAGACTTTGCCTTGGAAATCTATTAGAATTGCTTTAAATTCTCCACTGTTATTTACTAGCAATAATACACATTTATTTACCACATCGAAATTAGCTTCAATATTGTGTGTCATTTTGCATACTTTATGTATAGTTTACTTAAAAAAATGTTTACTAGGAGCTGTAGCTTCTGTTTATCCCTTTTTCTTTTATGTGTTAGAAATGCATTGGAGCCACAAGGGAACATCATAAAAATCATGACTACCAGAGGTCCCACTGTGTGTTTAGCTGAGTTGGGAGAAGAAAGTATACAAAAGCAACTTTGCAGCTGTCCTCACAAAAAAATGTATTGCAGTGATAACACAATTCTTCAAAATTTCATCCAAAATCCTTGGCCTCCCTGGTTGTTGCAGTCATTAAAATGAATAACATATTGGTTTATTATTTATTTTTAGAAATTACATTTCCATTCTTAGACTAGAAACAGAACTGTGAATACATTTTATAAAATAAGGCTTTGAAATCAAAGGTTTTTATAGTTAACATTGTTAGGGGAAGGGTAACTATGCTACCTCTATCCAGAAGATTCTCATTTAATTTTGAGATACGTATTCTCATTTTACAGTAATATTGCAAGGTGTTAAGTGACTCACCTGAATTAACGCCACAAGTAAGTGGCAAAACTAGGATTCAGCTCACATCTATCTGACTCCCAAGTCCATGCGTTTTTTAATACTGTCTGTTATCTTTTGCCATTTTCCATGTCTTCCTTACAGTTCCTGAGTCTTAAGTGGGATTTTAAGTTAGTTTGTGGGGGGCAATGGGATTGGAGTTTTGGGTTGTGGAATAACTGGATATTTGAATTAAACTGTGGATAATGAAGAATTGTGTAATGGAAAAATTAGACTGTGAAAAATCTTTGTCTTTAATTTTACATTTTCTTTTTATCTTTGGTTATCTGCAGATAAAGACCCTACTCTAGACCATATAGAATGTTCTTTATAATGGGCTCATCTGTGCTCATCAGGGTGCCAGTGGTCTAAGGTGCCAAACTCAAACTTCTGCTTCCTGCGCCCTGGGGTTTCTTTATAATGGGTTTTGTCATGGTGATTGTATTTTCTTGAGCTGATTTAATAAAATTTTCATACACTAATGGTGTTCTTTCTCTAGAGTGAAAAAAGAGCCATTTTTCTCTGAATTATAATTTGAGGGTAATGAGGACAAAAATAAGGACAGAGGTATAAAAATTAATAATGATTTATTTAGCATTTGACTAACCACACAGGAGCAATCTAGAAGGCAGTTTTTCTAATTTGTTATCTCTTCCTCCCCTTCCCCAAACTTTAATCTAATTTTGTCCTTTAGTAACCTGACATTTTTGGATTATTTACTTCTTTTTGGGAAGGGTGTATTGTGGGAAGCTATAGAGAACTTTGAAAGCATTGATGATTTGCAAGATCCAGTTACTCTTGTTTTACTTAGAAATCTTAGGGAAGAAATGGAAGTCTGTAGTTCACATTTGTGGCTCCCAAAATTGATCAGTGAAAGTCTGATGCCTTTGATTTCATTTTAACATTATTCATTCCTGTGCATTCTGGACAAGGTATTTTACCATTGCTAAAATTGTACATTTTATCTTCTACCACAAATACCAAGGATGATAGTGATATTTTTAGGGCACAGGAAGAAATTTCCCATTATGCATGTTTATAGTTAATTTTAATTTGGGGTAAAATTTAGAAAAATATGAAATACTTTGATCCCAAGTGTAAAAAACGTTATGAAATAAACCAGTACTAATTAAAATGTTTAATTTTAGAATGAATAAAGTATTTTAATCCTATGTTTGTTTTTTTTAAGTTAAGCTTAATTAGGAGTCATATGAAATCTTTAAAATTTGGGTTTTAAGTTACATGTTTTTTCTATACTTAACATTCTATACTAAAACTGTTTAGTATATAAAAATGGCATCTTCTATTGGGGGTTGGAGGAAGAAGCCAAGGACCTTATATAACACACTTCCATCTAGTAAGCAAGTTTAAGAAGTGGGTTCAAAGGCAAAAATTTACTCCTGAAATCTTGCGAGGCTTTCTTTCATAAGGGTTGTTGTTGCTTAGGTAAAAATATGAAATCCTAACAAAAAATTAAAACATAACTTGTATATTAATGATTTATATTTTTAAAAATTGAGATAAGGGGAGGAATTATTGTATTGGAAATATAGACCAGTAAGATAGCTAGTATAGGTCAGAATATATAAGTGGACAGCCCATTTGTAGACAGATACTTGTGAACATTAATGTGAATCCCACTGGAGGGTTTTCTGAATCACTGTTGACTGAACAGATTGAGAGAATGAAGTGATACTGTAGATACGAAAGTACTTTGGGAAGTGTAAAGTGCAAAATAGATAGATGTCTATAAATTTAAAATAGAAATCTGTTTTGAAAGTAGATTGTTGCCATTGAAGTAAACTAAGCAGAAAAACAAATTGAAGAAGGTATTAGAAGATTCTAGTGAGGCATTTAGGCTTCAGGAATTTTTATGGTAAGGGTAATTAATTAGATACTTAGAGTTTTTACCATGTGAGTGGATGGTGTGATATTTCAGTTAACCTAAACATCTAGAGTTGTGCTTATTTCAAGTGAGAGCTTATAAATGGCTTTTAATGATCCTGAATTTTCTGTTTATATGTATAGAACCCATGTAGCCTGGGGGAATAGTATCGCAGCATTCATCTACAGATGAATACATTTATCATTTTGGACCTAGCATACTTGAAGTCGGCAAATGTAAAATAGGGGTCTGCTGTTTTTCTCTAAACATTCCTAAAAGTCAACGAGCCATTGTACTTTTGTTGAAAGTGGTTTTATTTCATTAAAAACATTGAAGTGAAAATTTGTTAGTTTTTTTGTTTAAAATATTCTTAAAACTGGCTAATTAAGTCCTAGAAAAACACAAACTATTATTTTTACTAGAGCAGATATTCAAGATAATGAAAGAGGGGCTTTCAGAATTTTTTATAGGTAATACTTTATAATAGGCTTTTTTCTTGCTGATATAACTAACATTTATTTTCTGTTTATTTTTAAGACGAGCAAAAATCAAATTAAAGTAGATCTTGTAGATGAGAATTTTACAGAATTAAGAGGAGAAATAGCAGGACCTCCAGACACACCATATGAAGGCAAGTACTTTTTTCTGTATCGAAATATTGTGCGTATTAGAACTTGTCTGAAACATTAAATCAGAATAATCTTAAGCATCTATTTATTGTAAATTACATGGAAGGTAACTTCATTTGGCTTAGGATATTCAGCAATTTTTAAATAATATAGATACTTATCTACACTGATTTTTCTTACTGAATTTTAGCTAATATTTTTTCTTTCCCCAAAATAGATTTAGTAGTGTGAAGTTACAGGTTATATAGATTAGAATTTAATAATGTAAAACATCTATATGTTAAGCCTCTAACTTATATGGACCTCTCAGGTGCCCTTCATATGGTATCTATAACAAGCCTTGCCTTAAATTTCTGACTGATAAAATTTTTTTTTTAATTCCTCTCCCCTGTTTGTCATTTAGCATTTCATTCACTCATTTGTCTTCGTACAGGCTGTATTCCAAATATTTAATTGTCTTTACTCATAAAAGCTTTGTGTGATCATTTGAAGATATAGAAAAGAAAGGTCACTTTGCTGAACTTCATGTTCACAAACTAAGTCTGTAGCTGCTTCAGACCATGGAATTGGATGGTAGGATACAGGAAGAAGCTTTATAGCTTTTTATTTCCTCATTAAGAAAATCTTTAGTAATGAATATTATAAATTTGGGTTATATAGCGAAGCCAAGTTTCTTGAATATAGTAGTCAATCAGATTTTAATAGAAATCACATAACAATTTATAGGAGTAGCATTTATTGAGTTGAGCTCTTACTATTAGAGCTTAACATGTATTTTCTCATTCAATTCTTACAACAAATCTTATGAGGTAAGTGCAGTTATCCCTGTTTCATAGATAAAGAAACTTAAGCTCAGAGAATGTAAGTAACTTGTCTAAGGCCAAACTTCTAGGTGGCACAGCTGGAATTGCAGTCTCAGCCTTTGACTTCAAAGCCTGTTTCTCATCACTTTCTACTTTTGAATAAATCAGGATTGACTGAATATTAGAAGTGATAGTTATGTCTTTGAAGTGGTAGTTCTAGAATCCTGTAATGAACAATTACCCAAAAATTTTCAGAAGAATCCAATACTCTAGAATATTTTTGTTTTTATTCAAATTTTAAAGGCCCTAGAATGTCTTTAGTATATCCTACCAAACCTTAAATAATAAAATTTTATTTATGAGCCATCATTTAATTTTTTATATTATTTATTGTTTCCTGTATGCTAGGCCTCCTCTGGTTGCTTTCATAGAAGCTCTTCATTTAGTCCTTTTGACAATCATTAGATAGATAATAGGTCTTTAATTATCTTATAAAAATCAAGTTTTTGTTAAGATAAGATATTGTATGTAACGATATACAGTCAGCCCTCCATCTCCAGGTTCAGCATCTGTGGATTCAACCAACCTCAGATGAAAATAGTCAGGAAAATGTTACATTCTTGCTGACGTGTACTATGTAGTTAGACCTACGATGGTTGTGTCTGTACTGAACATGTTCTGACTTTTTTCTTGTCATTGTTCCCTAAACAGTACAGTATAACAACTATTTATATAGCATTTACATTGTATTAGGTATTATAAGTAATCTAGACGTGATTTAAAGTATAAAGGAGGATGTGTAGATTATATGCAAATACTATGCCATTTTATAGAAGGGACTGGAGCATCTGCAGATTTTGATATTGGGGGTAGGGGGTATCCTGGAATCATCCCCTGCAGATATTGAGGGATGACTATACTAGCTTCTTCCTGAAGGCAGGCATTATAAATATTCTTGAATAATTTTTTAGGTTGATTAGATGTATTTTAAAAGACAGTAGGGCAGTAAGCATTATCGTTCTAGCGCTCCAGCAAATTGATACGTATAAATAAGGTACCTCCTGAACTACATTAGATAAGCAAAATGTTCATTACCTTCTTGGCAGCCCTTAAGAAAGAAAGGTAGATAAATTTTTAGAAATAGGAATATATAGTTATTTGTATGATGATTATTAAGTTATAAATGTACCATATTTTTTACCAATTAGAATCAAGTTTGGTCATTTTTAAGTGTTTGTTTCTGCTGTTGCCACTAAATGAGACATTAATGTTTCATAAGATCAGTTTTAGTATGCTTTTTGGTTATGTATATATTTGACATTAATTAATACAACTTAATTGTATTCTTTTTATCATAAAACTTTTGAAGATAAATTGTTCACTTTGTTTAGGAGAAGCACCATTCAAGGGCATAAACTTAGCCACTTGTTTTTGAAATATGAACATGGGTAAAATATTTTGATAATAATTATTGCAGGGCTCTTGCTGGTTTTCAAGGATTTTTTTTTTTATCTCAATTTAATAGCTAAGGCAAAAGTTTACATGTGGAATGTTAAATTGTTTATAACCATCATTAAGTAATGAGGCAGCTATTTTATGTGTTTTTAAAAGTAATCAGATTGAGAAGTAGAATACCCATGGAAAAATTACTGTATTGCACATGTTACTTAACTCAGTTTTCTTGTTTTGCCTTTATAGTTCAGTGAAAAGGGAACAGTAGTAGTTCTTGAGCCTTTTTTCCTAAGAGTTGTTTTGAATTTAGGGAATTATTGTTGATAATTTTAAAAATCTCATCCCTTCCCCTATCTTCCCTTTGTATTAAGTTAAATTTAAAGACTGTAAAATTATTATTATTTTTTTTTTTTAGCTGAGCCATCCTGCCACCTGTTGGCAGCTCAGCGACATCTCAGCTCGGGCCAGGACTCGAACCGCTGTTGCTCAGAGCTGAAACTCTTGAGCGAGCTCTTAACCAACTGAGCCACTCAGCCGGCCCTAAAGATTGTAAATTTTTAATAATAAAAGCTATTCAAGAAGTAAATGTTTTATAGTGAAAGGTGTTATAATACAAATAATGCAGATATAAAGCTCCCTTAATTGTGTTGGTCTGGTATATATCAGCTAATGCTGTGGTGATTATAAATGGAAAGTTATCAGATCAAATTACAAGACAGTTTATTAATAGCATATGGAATAGAAATAGGATTTGGGGTACTCTAGAGTTCAGCAATATACCTGGGCTCTCCAAGGAGGAAGAACTTCATATTAAAGATTATAGAGACACTAATCTGGAATTAAATCAGAAAAAAGTAAGGTTCTTAGGAGGGAAAAAGAACCTACATATTTTTCAGGCCAAATTTATTATACCTATACTTGAAGCTAGCATTTATAACTAAACATAAACAGTTATCTCTATACTCACAAAATTTCTTCAGGTACTCTTGTCTTACCTGTCTTATTTTTTGTCCCTTTTGTTTTGACTACTTTATATTTCACTGTTGCCATATGCCTTGTGATTCAGGCATCTAGGTCAACTCATGCATCAGTCACTAGGGGATTCTATTAAAAAGAATTAGCAACAAAAGAAGAAATGGAACCAAAAAAGGCTTGAAGAAAGTGGTACCAAGTGAATTGTTCTTTTGTTTTTCTCCTGATCCACATTCATCTATCTATTCCTAACAATGCAGAAGGAGGATTTGAGAGAATTCAGGATATACTAAGAGTTCAGTGTACAGAATTTTGACATTAATATTGCTCCTAGTGCAGTTTTTATTTTGCTTGTTATTACAGAAAATCTCAGATATATATAGAAGGCAAATGATATAATGAATTCTCTATGTGCTCATCAGCCAGCTTTAGTAACTGTCAACTCATGGCCAGTCTTGGATCTGATCCATAACCTTGATTATTTTGAAACAAATCCCAGGCATAATTTCATATGTAAATATTCCCGTAGTACAGTTTTATTTGCTGTATTTTGGAATAGTGACTATTCTGTTAATGGATCATAAAGTCTTAGAATTGGAAGGTTCTTTAGAATTAAGATTCAAATCCAGCCTCTCATCCAGAGCAAGGCTTCCCCCTTCAGAATTTCCTGAGAAGCCATTATCCTCACACCAGGTGTAGGAAGCTAGATAAAAAATTTTAAATGTATTTAACTGCTAGTTGCTCATGAATGTTGCCTTCTGTTTATATGTTACTGATGAGAACAACCTCTTTGTAAAGTTTTGCATTTTTATACCCATTTAGAGGCAGAGAATAGTTTTTTATCTTTATGCCTACCTCTTGCCTTATTGTTGAATTTTATTTTAACAAGAAGTGTTTGGCGGGCCGGCTGAGTGGCTCAGTTGGTTAAGAGCTCGCTCAAGAGTTTGAGCTCTGAGCAACAGCGGTTCGAGTCAGCCCGAGCTGAGCAGCCGTGNCAGCGGTTCGAGTCAGCCCGAGCTGAGCAGCCGTGAGCTGCCAACAGGTGGCGGGATGGCTCAGCTAAAAAAAAAAAAAAAAAAAAAGAAGTGTTTGGCATTTAATTTAGAGCACAAGTTAAAAGTTTGAGACATTTTTGCATTTGAGAGAACCAGCTAGAAGTAGTTTTTTTTCAGTTTATGGCATAATCTGTGTATCCTTTTTTTTCTTTTTAATACCACCTATGCCTTTTTTATTCCTCCCCGCCTTTCTGTTTTTCTTCTTCTTTTTTTTTTTTCTTTCCATTTTTTCCTGTGAATTGGAGGAAACAAGGAGACAGAACCTATACTAAATTGTCCCAATGAAGTCTTTGGCGTTGGATTATCTAGACTTAATGTATTCATCTATCTCTAGCCCTGTTATTCACTGATAAGTTAATATAGTTGTATAAATTGAATATTCTGTATTCTTTAAATTAAAAACTAGTGATTTTAATTATTTCCTTTTTTGGGTTTCAGCTTTAAAATGAATTTGTTATAATTGAATATAAAATAGTACATGTTTTGAAAAGCCATTGTTATTTGGCTTTATATATTTGAGGTGAGTAGCATTCTTAACTTTGTTTTCCCCATTTTCTAGGCGGAAGATACCAACTAGAGATAAAAATACCAGAAACATATCCATTTAATCCCCCTAAGGTATTGTAAACCTATTTTTGTGCATGAACTTCTAAAATATATTTCTTGGCCCATTTAATTAATATATATTTTAGTGTTTATTAACATTACAGTTTTTTAAGTTGTTGGCTATGTTAATTGAATGTGGAGAAGATTTCAGGTAATGGCAGATGGTTTGCTTTTGGAATTATAATGAAAAGCAAGTTTAATCAGAGGCAGCTAGTAACATCTCTAGACAAGAATAGGATATGCATCTGACAATGGCTTCAATTCTAGGTCTGGAAAAACTTGCAGCATTCCCAGATGTAGAAAACCCTTATACAAATTCTTACTTTCCTCAAAGAAGTGTGTTGTGTTTTGTTTTGTTTTGTTTTGTTTTGTTTTAGGGAAGAGTGTATTCTAAATTTCTTTAACAATTATTTGAGCACTCTCTGCCAATATAGCAGTAAATAAGAGTTACACTGACCTTGCTTTCATGGAGCTCACATTCTAGCAGGAAAAAAAAAAAAATAATTGCAACTGTGATGAATGTTAAAAGAGGAAATGAAATGCTCTAGCATCATATATAGAAGGGGAACTAACTAATCTAAACTTAATTTTTGACTAAACAGCTTCCTTTGTCTTTACTTTTGCTATCATCACCACTTTAATTTAGGCATTCAACTTTGTTACTTCCCTGTTTTGCCTATTATTTAATCACCCTTCATCTTTGCCACTCCTGTTCATTCTTTGCATTTAAAACGTGTTACAACCTGACCCCAGTCTTCTTTTCCATCCTAATCTTCTACTCCCCTCACCTGCAACACGGTTCTCATTTGGCAAACTAGATTATTTGCTATTTGTAGATGATGCTTACTCTTTCACCCTTTTCTGTCATTTTCACTTGAATCATAGTCCCTGTCATTTAAAATTCAATTTTTCTTTTGATGTCTAGGTAAAGTATCACTTTCTCCATTAAGCTATGCCTATCAAATTGTGTCTCTGTCTACTCTCTGAATAGCATTTTATGTAATTTATATAGTACCAAAACAAATACAGTACCAATTAATGTATTATTTGGGGTATGTATCTTTTATGCTCCTGAAGTGAAGGACCTTTGTATTTTCTGTGGTTCCTAATAGTATAGTGTCCCTTGAACATATGATTGTAGTCACTCAGGATAAGTTCTGGAATTCACTCATTCAATCTATTGGTTGTTCCTGTTTAAGTTCCAGGAACTTAATGGAAGTTCCAGGGTGAGTTTGGGCCATCTACCAGTTTGGGGTGCCTATTATTCTGTTGCTTATGTATGTACATCTTTTCTTATAAGCCTGGTTGTTGTTTTTTAATAGTGGTAAAATACACATAATATAAAATTTACCATTTTAACCATTTCTAAGTGTATAGATTAGTGGCATTAAGTACATTTGCATTGTTGTGCAACCATCACCACCATCCATTTCTAGAACTTTTTTATTTCTTCTGTTAAACAATAACTCCCTATTATGTCATGCCCCCAGCTCCTGGTAACCACTGTTTTACTTTCTATGAATTTGACTACTCTAGGGTACCTCATTTAAGTTGAATCATACAATATTTTCCTTTTATATTAGGCTTATTTCACTTGGTATAATGTCTTCAAGGTTCCATCCATATTATAGCACATGTCAGAATTTCATTGCTTTTAAAGGCTAAATAGTATTCCACTGTACGTATATACTACATTATCCGTTTGGCCATTGTGGACATTTTATTGTTTCTCTTTTAAGCCTTGATTTTTTTCCTTCATTTTTTTTCCTACTATAAATGTAGCTTGTGTTTGTTGTAGAAATGTTAGAAAGTTATACAGCAAAGTACAAAAAACGAAAACAATTTTTCAGTGTGACCACTTAGAGATGTCCACTATTAAGTCTTTAACTTATATTTGTGACTGAATTTTCATTCTCATCCTGGTTTCTGTCCACTGGATTCAATCTAGATTGTCAATATTATCATTAGAATGAATAGTCACTTGAGAGGACTTTAATTATAGAATACCATGAATTTAAGAAGATTTTAAAATGTTTAGCGATACGGATGACCTCATAGTCTTAATTCTTTTTTTTTTAATGGAAATGAGGAAGAAATAAAGAAAAGACCTCAAGAAGAGACTGCTTTCAAACTACATTTTTACTATTAAATAATGTTAGTAGCAGCTGTCAGTTTTTTTGTGCTAAGAATTGTATATGCCTTTTCTCAAACAGTGTTTAAAATAGTCCCAATAATTGAGGGAACTTAGGCTAGAGGTTAAATAGAACCCAGGTCCCATAAAGCCCACTGTGCTCTACTCCTATGATCCTGATAGAGGGAGTAAGGGCAAAATCTCTGAATCGGTTAATATGACTCTACCAAGAACAAGAACGATCAACCAGAATTTAAATCTTTTCTTCTGCCATTTAAATGGCTTTGTGATTTTAGGCAATCTGTCTAACTGGTATGTATCTTAGTTTCCTCATCTGTAAAGTCCTCTCATTGGATTGTAAAGATTAAAGGAGTTAATCCATGTAAAGAACTATATTTCAGTAATTCTGTGAAACATTTTTTTCATATTTTTTAACACCTCTGAAATCAGGATATATCTTTCAATGGATGGCGTGTCATAATTTAATTGGGAGAGTTTATTTCTCAAGGGGTATGTAAAATAATAATAATGTATTGAATAATTGATGGTACTTGAGATTTAATGAAATATAATACTTAGAACAGTGCCTGCATAAAGTTAAGCACTTTGGAAATAGTAGCTAGCATTAACCAGTAACTACCAGTCTAAGAAGCCCTTCTTGAAGTCATCTATTGACTTCGTTCTATAATATCAATTTAAAACATGGTAACATTGACACTTAAATTACCTCTATAAATTGAAATTCTCATACATTGCTAGTGGGGATGGAAAATGATGGAGATATTTTGGCAAATAGTTTGGTTAATGGTAAATGTAGAGCTAGCTACCTTATGACCTAGCAATTCTACTTCTAGGTAGCTGTCCAATAGAAATGAAAAACATATGTCCATACAACAACTTGTACAAAAATGTTTATACCATCACTATTCATAATAGCTAAGAAGTGGAAGTGACCTAAATGTCCATCAAATGAATGGATAAACAAGTGTGGCATATCCGTATCATGGAATATTATTTGGTTATAAAAATGAATGAAGTACTGACATGTATAAGATAGATAAACTTTGAAAGCATCATGCTAACTGAAAGAAGCCAGACACAAAAGGCCACACATTGTGTGATTTCATTTATATGAAATATTGGAAGAAGCAGATCCATTGACAACAAAATACTGGGTTGTCAGAAAAGTCATGATGCATTTTTGCAATGAAAAACATAGAAAAAATACTTAATGACTTTTCCAACAACCCAATAGATTGGTGGCTGCTTAGGACTGGGAGGGTGTGCAGAAGAATGGTGAGTGACTACTGATGGTTACATGGTTTCTTTTTGAAGTGACAAAATGGTAAAAAATAAGATTGTATTGATGGTTGCACAACTCTGTGAATATACTAAAAATCATGAAGTTGTGCACTTAAGTGGTCTCAATAAAAATGTTTGATTATTTTCCTCTATAGTCTATAAGTGACTTCAAAGTGATTGTATAGTCTTGGCTCTGTTTTAGGCACTATTTTAGGCATTATTTCATTTACTCCTTGAGATCATTGTTTTACTAACTCCTCCTGCCCTTACTCTTTTTTAGTACAATGAGAAAAATAGACTCAAAACATAAGAACTGAGGTCTGTCTGATGTTTTGCTACTAGCTCATGTTGTTCTTCAGGCCACTACTAACCCAATTTCAGCCATTCTATGTTGAGGTAGCTTCAGGATTTAGAAAGGACTTCCTTTAATCAACCCAAATTTGTCTCCCTCTGGCATCACCCAGTCAGTTGTATGTAGTTGGAATTTAGTATTCTTTTAAATATGGTACTCATCCCATTTATGGCATTAAGCTTTTGCACCAAATGTTAATGAACATATGATAAATATGTTCTAGATATATGTGTATATATTGATTAGAATTTTTTACTGATTGGTAAATATAATGCAAAGTAGGGAATATTTGTGTAAATTTCTTGCTGAATTGTGTTCACATGTATTTGTTATATAGGCTCAGGTTTAATTTTAAGCCTTAAGAGGTAAAAATATTGAAGTTAGCTGGTTATAGTCTCTTCTCACTACTGTGCAACTAAAACTGCACAAGATTGAAAACTTAGGTTGATTTGTCTTAACATGGCCTCAGAGTATTTTCTGTTTATTATTCTGCAATAAATTATTGACCTAAAGAACAGAAGGTTTACTTCTAGACAGAGAATATGTCTTTGAATCAGCTGAGTATAGTGTAGAAGGAATATGATTCAATGCATACAACCAATGTTATTACTAGAGTAAATTGTAATTTGTATTTTTAGTAATGAAAAACCCATTAAATTCGGAAAACTGTACCTTAATGATTTGTCCAGTTACGTATTGGAGATTAAGTTGTGAATGTTATTCTTTATCCTTGGTGTTATAAACATACTTTTATATGTGAAATTGTAAATTCCAGTGTTAATAATCTTTAATGAGTCTGCTCATCTGCACATGCATCTTTGAAATAAAATAGCATTTTCTTTTGTACAATAAGTTACCTAAAGCTGGTTTTGTATGGTGACATCCTTGAGTTCCAAGCTTCAAATTGGAAATTCCCAATGGAAATAAAAGCTCACATTTACCATAAAGTAGTTGCTGAACTGTTTGTTGAACTAAGGAGCGAATGAATATAAGATGCATATATTCATGCATCCTGTAGGAGGAGATAAGATTACTGATGATGATGATGATGATGATGATGATGATGATGTGGCAATATCATCTGTATGCCAATAACTAAGAATAGTCCCTTTCTTTCATTTCAATGTAGTAATACTATGTACATAGTGTTAAGATTTTTGTCTCTATTCTTTGAGTGCTCCTCAAAGCTAATGAATATTATGAAGTTACCCAATAGTGTTAGTTTCATTTGTCAAAATAAGGAGACTTGAATTGTTATTAGTAAATGTTTTAGTACTGTAAGCCATCCCATATCTGTTTTGTAATCAGAGTTACATGTGACTCAAGTAGGTCATAACAAATGTCACTGTATCATTACTTACTCTTATACCTCATCCCTTCTAAGTTCTTTTGATTCAACATTTTAGTAGATACAGGACAGATATGGTGGCACTCTGGGGAAAGTGACAAATACAATAGATGTGAATTGGGTATAGAATACTACCCAGTGGGACATAATTCAGGTACAGTTGGGTACCACTGGTGACATTAAGACTTGAGATAGAGGAAGAAGTGAAAAACCTAAGAAAGAACTAGTTGATGATAAAGAATGACAAAGAAGAGAGGAATAGGAGATAAAGGGTGGTAGACCACATAAGAACTATTGTATTTATAAGACAGTTTACATTTGTACTAGTGGATAATGGAGTGTCCTGTTAAAAATTAAATTCTTCATTAGATCATCTGCAAATTCAAAGCTATTTATTCCTAACTGCAGCTTATAGTACAGAGTAAGAAATAGTTTAATAATTTCCTTGGTCCTGCATATATGCATATTTGTTTTCATGTAGTGTCTGTAGAGAATCATGTATTGAAGGCTTCTTTAAAAAGCACAGTACAGTTTACATAGCCTTGGATCACTTGGCTAAATCATAAACCTTCTGACATCTTCAGTATTTTGAAATTCTGTTTTCAAATCTTGTTGAAAATATTGAACCAACTTGTGTTTTAAAGCTGTAAAGTGCTGTAATGTCTGAGTTATTGAAATTCTGACATATGGTTATTTTGTATCTTTATGCTTTGAACTCAGTGAATGGTGGAAATTAAGATGTGGTTATATCTGTTATAAAGAAATGCTTGTTGTACATAAGCCCTATATGCCTCTCTTATCTGACCTGTACCATATCTGAGAGGGATATTTATAACAATAGGTTTGTATATTCATTCAGTATGAAGCACTTTAGATAATTGGGATGCTCTCAGTAAGCAAGATAGATACCGAGCCTTTCAGGAAAGACCATACAAATAGGAAGAGATTATAGAAGTGGGATCAATACTATGACATAGCGAAGTACAGGGTACTACAGGAACAGATCATGAAGAAATGATATGGAAGCTGAAATTTGAAGGATAAGTAGGAGTTAGCCAGGAGAAAAGGACATTGAGGTGTGTTACTGGGAGAAGAAACATGTATACAGGCCCCAAAGGCAAAAAGAAAAAAATATTTAATAAGACTTGTTGAGCAAGTGCATGGATTATGAGGTAGAAGTGAGATTTGAGAGGTAGGGTAAGGCCAGTTTATGAATGTGGGCTTAACATAAAGGGAGGTCATTAAAGGGCCTTAAGTGGAGTCGGATTTGTTTTAAAGGGCTCCCTTTGGTTTCAATCCATTGTGTGGAGAATGGATTGAATGGAGAGAGCAGGCAACAGTCGGTAGATTGTTCAGTAACCCAGATGAAGAATTGTCTCCTTTAACAAGATGGTGGTTCTGTGGATCGAGAGAAGCAGATATCATTGAAATCATTAAGATTATTTTAAGAAGAAAGGATCAAGGTATGGCAAGTGTCCGTTAGTTTTAGGTGTTTTGAAGTCACAGGTGACTTAAAGTGCTTTTTTTAGAAGACATATACCTACACGTTAGTGAGTAGGTCCTCACCTACTCACTAGATGTAGTAGTAGTATACTACCCATCTCGAATGGGTAGTATAGACAAATCAAGTCAAAGAGAAGTGAAAGCCGTTCAGTGTCTCTCCATAAGTAGTTTAGATTTGGAGATATATTGATGAGTTAATAAAAATTAATTCATCTTGGGTTAAAAAGTTAACTCATTAACTTTTGTGAAGTAGTTAGAACGTTATTTGGCTCATAGTAACTATTAAGTGTTAAGGAATTTTGGTTCAGATGACTATCATGTCAGATATAATAATAATCCACAAGCTTATAAGTAAGAGCTGATGAACTAGATGTTATTTCATGGTGATCTGATAGTATTTTTCATTTTGTTCATTTCTTATTCTTCCATGGTAAGACAGTTGAGTAGAGACTCAGACTCTGAAATTGCATTGTATGAGTTTGCATTTTGTCCTGTTGCAAACTAGTTATTTCATTTGGGATAAATATCGTAAACTTGAAGCCTCAGTGTCTATAATAATAAGTCTTCAATATTTGGTGAATTATTTTTTTAAAAAGAATTTGAGAAAAAAAATTGCTACAGAAAAATTAGGAGCAGTCTTACAGCCACTTACAACTTGTACTTTCATGTATTACTCATTTTGCTTACTTTTTCCTTCAAACCTATTCTACACCTTAGTTCACACTAAAAATTAGCCATTTATAATACTATCTATATTTTTATTTTATGTACAACTTTACTACCTAAATGGATTTTAGTCCATGTTGTATTTCTCATAGCATCTAACATTATGCTAGGAAAATTATAAACACCTAGTAATTGTTGGGTTTCTTTAAAGGCGGAGCATTTATTAAAAGGTTTAAAAAGAATGTACGTCAATGACAACATTCGGCTTACTAAATGCTTTGTCTTCTACACCCCTCCCTTCACTTAGGCAAAATGAGGTAATGTAAGTATGGACTTTTTTTTTTTTTTTTAACCGGAGGATTTCATTTTCTTGTAGTTCTATTTAAACTATATGTGTTTTATTTCTGTTACTTAAAAACTGAAGTGTGCTTTATATTTCTAGGTTCGGTTTATTACTAAAATATGGCATCCTAATATTAGTTCCGTCACAGGGGCTATTTGTTTGGATATCCTGAAAGATCAATGGTAAGAGATTTTGAATTTACCTTCTCCCCTCTCATATGAATTCCAATGCTGTATTTACTCGTAGAGTGTTAAATGTGTAACTGCCTCAAAATATAAGCATATATTATACTTTGTTATTTGGGTGGGTGACAATTTTAAAACTTTATGGAATCTCGTAAGTGCATAATTGAAAATGTGTTATAATTGAGGTCACAATCTGTATTTAAATAGTGACTTCTTAGGTAATATCCGATGCTAGCTTTACATCTTGAAAAGTCTTGGACTTCATTTGTTATTTTGGTAAATTTGATTCTTTGCTATCTCAAGAAGATATTTGTGAAAGACTAAAAATAAATAAGACGGAAGTAATCAGCTCTGACTTGGATGGAAGGTAGGCAACAAAAATGTTAAAAGTTGTGTTACTTGAGTGCAGTTAAGGTTCTCAGATTCCAAGGAGTACTTTGTAGGTGATATCTTCATTTTCACAGCAGTTTATAGTGCTGTCACATATATTGTCTGATTTGATCTTAGCAGCATAATGTTTTAAGAGTTCTTACTCTGGAGTCATTATGTTCAAATCTGGCTCTGCCATTTACTAAGCTGTGTGATCTTGAGCAAATTACCTAGTCTTTGTGCTTTAGTTTCCTCATCTAAAAAACCAAAAGGGGCTACACCTACTTCATAGAGCAGTTGAGAGGACTAAATGAGTTGCTTTATGTAATTCTCTGACTTGTTCTAAAACTATGGATGGAAGGACTAAGACAAAGGTTATATAAGAAGACATTGGAGGGCCGGCTGCGTGGCGCGTATGTTAGGAGTTGGCTTGGGACACCAGCTCTGAGCAGCATGGCTCTGGTTCGGATCCCACATGGGCCAGTGACGCTGCGCCCTCTACAGCTAAGACGGTGAACAACAGCTCAACCCGGAGCTGGGCTGCCGTGAGTCGCCAGCCACAGCATAGGCTGCAGTGGGGCTGGCCAGCAGCAGGCATGAGCTTTCAGGAGCTGCCGTGAGCCGCTGTGAGCAGTTGGCTGTCCAGTGGCCAGCGAGCGACTGCCTCACCCAGGAAGAGCGCAATGATAATACCAACATGGGCCAGTGAAGCGACGTCCTCCACAACTAGACTGAAGAACAAAAGGACAGCAACTTGTCTGTTCCCCTTCCCCGATTCCCCAACGCTGTTCCCCTCCCGCAATTCCCCAATTAAATAAAACAAACAAACAAAAAAACATTGGAGTGGGAGAAAACAGTAATAAGTTATGTGTTTGATTTGTTAATGAAGGGAAAGAATGGAACCTGAACAAGATGAAACAGGAATGACAACATTTAGCATATGGGTGATTTGGTTTAGTAACTGGATAAACAAACAGGAGTTGCTGGTTTGGTTTGGTTTTCTTTTTCTATCCTAATAGCACATCTGAGTAAAGCCTCTTTCTCAGTAGATCATGTCTTGAGATCTAGTTTCTTGATCTATATTTCATACTGTTAAACATTGAACAGTGTGGAATACACTTAACTTTATCCTCTGTTATTCGTTTGATTTTTGTCTTTTCACAACCTACTGAATTTCTTGGCCTCAGTGTTATTACCTATAAAGTCATCTCCAAGGCCCCCTAGCTCTGTCATTCATTGATATTAATGAATATTTTCAGTATGAGTAACATCTTACTTTTTTTCATTTGGTTTCCAGGACATGAGTTACGTTCTTCCCTTCCTATCCCACTCCCAGACTCCTTAACTAGTTCCTCCCTCATCTCCTAGAGCTTTGCACATGAGAATTCTTCGGGGCTGTCTTGACCTCTGCTCTTTTCCATCTATACTCACTTCCTTGGTGAGCTTATCTGATCTTATAACTTTACCGTTTATATATTAGCAACTCACAGATTTGTGTTTCCTAAACTCTAGACTCATGTCCTTCTGCCTTCTTAACATATTTGAAAATGTAATGGATACCTCAGTGTCAAAAACTGAACTGATAGTCCCTTAACCAAAAACCTGCTTCACCCCATCTAAGTTATTGGCAGCTACATCCTTGTAGTTGTTCAAATCAAAACCTCATCATGATCCTTGGTTCTTCTTTCTCTGGTACCCTGTACCCTGTCTGCAAACCCTGTTGGTGAAACCTCTCAAAATCTTAGCAGCAGCTTCACTACTACCACTTTGGCCCAAGTCACATTACCTTTTGACTGGATGATTAGTCAATTGCCTCCCTGCTTCTGACTTCCTTACTCAGGCTCTTCTCATCAGCCAGAATGATACTCTTCCCCCACACCACACCCCCTTAAAAATAAATAAAATTCCAGGCTAAAATCTAATGACTTTCCTTTTTGCTGAGTTAAGCCAGCAGTACTGCCACTTCTGATTATCTCCTTATAGATAAATGAAAGATTTGGTGCATATGTATATAGGGAGAAAACTTGAATTTTTGTACCAAAACACTTTTAATCAACTATTTCCATTTCCTATGACAGGTAAAATAGCTGAACTTAGTTTTGTTTGATATCTATATAATTGAAATATTAAGAGATATCAAAGACATCTGATAAAATAGGTGAGATTAGATATCCATGGATTCTCTCTCCACCCTCCCTAGCTTTATTGAGGTATAATTGACATTTAGTGGATATCTGTATTTAAGCATGAATGTTTAGACTTCAGACCTGGAATTTCATAAAGAAATCTACAGGACAGTAATCATGGGGAAAATAAATTAAGAAACACTGAATATTAATTTGGGACAAGTATGCTGAAAAACAGTTTGTTAATCTTGTCTTTTATTAACGCATGTGGATGGTAATTTAATATTTAACAACTTATGTTAGTATGGTTTATTTCTTAACTCCATAACTTAGACTATTTGGAAACTATTTCCTGATTTTTTTTTTCCATTGACACCTGTTATGATTAAAGGTGTCTGTTTATCTAGGGAAGAAAGTGACAACACATAAAAATTGCACTCAATGTTACTGCCCTTCCAAAAGACACAAGCAGGCATTGAGAGAATATCTAGATGGTCGATAAGCTATGCTCAGTATCAGTAGTCGTCAGGGAAATGCAAATTAAAATCACAATTAGATACCACTACACACTTGTAAATTGTTCTCATGAATTGCTGGTAGGAATGTGGTTCAACCATTCAACGGGCAGTACCTACTAAAGCAAAACATACTACACCTTCAGTATGTCCCAGCAGTTATACTCCTAGGTATATATCCAAGAAAATTTCAAGAGAAGTGAGTGCATATGTCCACCAGGAGACTTGTACAAGAATATTTATAGCAGATTTATTCAAATTGGAAATAACCCAAATGTCTGTCAACAAGACAATAGATGTATAATGGCATAATTGTACAGTGGAACACTATAAGCAGTTAAATATATATATAGACACTGCATGGATGATTCTCATAGACACGCTGAGTGACAAAAGCCAGATACAATGGAGTATGTACTGCAGGATTCTGTTTTTATGAAATTGAAGATGAGCTAAAACTAATTTCTGGGGATAGAAATTAGGACAGTAGTGGGAGTAGGTTCGCGTTGTGAATGGGAGGGGCAAGGTTGAGTCTTTTTGAATGCTGAAAATACTCTATTTTTATCTCAGTGGTAGTTACATGGATGTATACATAAATAAAAATAAAATGCAGCTGTACAGCATTTTACTCTGCTTATACTTTAATTAAAAAATTATAACAGAAAAGCTGCCATTCTCTTTAGCATTCAGTATTCTGAATAAACATGATTATTTATTGATGGTTTCCTAGACGATCCTTAACAGAGAAGTTAGTCAATAATACAAACAAGTCACATGCTTATTCTGCATGCTAAAAGCCCTACTAGGTCCATATGAATTAATATTTAATTAGCAGTTTTAAAAAACGGCGCTTTTGATTTGAGATCTGAACAAAATTAATTTAGTGAAAATATATTTATATGGTATTCATATCATCCACTGATTAATTAAAATTGGCTAACACATTTTGAAATTTCATACTCCTGTTGGCCTGTTAGTATTTGTTTTTAATAGATTTAAGCTAGTTTTACACACTGAAATCTAAAAACCTCAACGCAATATGAATTTAATCAGTACTTTGTGAAAAGAACAGTAAATGGAACAAAATACTCTATTTTCAGTTGTATACTTTAGAACAGTAAAAAAATACACACTTTTTTATACTATCAAAGATGTTAATAGTGTCTATAGTGTTTAGGGCCAGATGAGTAGGTTTCATTTTGATATTAATTTTATTACAAATTATTAAAACTGACATTATTTACTATTAATTTCATTTTTCAGCTTTTTAAAACTTTGCACTTAGATTTCTTTATGCAACTAATTTTTAATGGTTTGTAAACCTCAACATTTTATTATGAAAATTTTCAAGCATACAGAAAACATAACTTTTTCTCATTGAGATTGTTATGAATTGAATATAAAGTTATAGCTCCAGATTTTTTCTTTAGTTTTTAGGGCAAACTGTCCCTTTTAACATGTTCAACTGTAGGTCCTTAGTTTCTGATTCTTGAAGTGGTAACTTAAGAGGTCTATAATATTGTAGTTTGTGTCTTCCCAATAAAGACCTCAAAGGAAGTATTGATAGAAAGTATTTATAAGAATTTATGACTGTCTAAGGGAAGAGTTTATCACTCAAATTTTTAAAAATACATAATTGTAAAATACATATGACATAAAAAATTTACCATCTTGTTTTTTTAAATTGACATATAACATTGTAACCTTAATTGTTTTAAAGTGCACAGTTGAGTAATAAGTATATTCATATTGTGCAAAATCTCCAGAACTCCTTTTTTTTTTTTAAATAAAACTATCTATTTAGAACAGTTTTAGGTTCACAGCAAAACTGAAAGAAAGGTAGAGAGATTTCCCATATACCCCCTACCCCCACACGTGCATAGACTTCCCCTTTGTCAGCATCCCCCACCAGAGTGCATTTATTCTAGTTAATGAACTTAGACTGACACATCCCAGTTACCCAAAGTCCTTAGTTTATATTATGGTTCACTCTTGGTACGTTGTACATTCTATGGGTTTGAACAAATGTGTAATGATATGTATCCCATCATTATGGTAAACTATTTTCACTGCCCTAAACTTCTGTGCTCTGCCTCTTCATCCCTCCACCCTGTCAGTCCCCTCCCAGAACTCTTTTTGACTTGCAAAACCGAAACTCTCAACCCCTTAAGCTTCCCATTCCCCACCATACACACACCCTCCAGCCCATGACAACCATCATTCTACTTTCTGTCTCTATGAATCATGCTGTTTTGTCTTTTTATTCCTGGTTTCACTTAACACAGTGTCCTCAGGATTTATCCATGTTGTAGCATGTGTCAGATTTTTCTTTATTTTTAAGGCTGAATAATATTCCACTGTATGTGTATATCACATTTTGTTTATTCATTGGTTGGTGGAAACTTGAGGCTGTCTTAAATGCTTAGGAACATGAATGTACAGATATCTGTTTGAATCCCAGTTATTTTGGGTATATAGCCAGAAGTGGAATTGCTATATGTTTCTTTCCTTCTTTTTTTAGGAATTGCCATACTGTTTTCTGTAGTGGTCCATTTTGCTTTCCTACCAGCAGTGCACAAGGGTTCCAGTTACTCCGCCTCTTTTCCAACAACTGTTATTATCTGTTTTTTTGATAGTAGTCATCCTAATGGGTGTGAGGTGGTATCTCATTGTTTGATTTACATTTCCCTAATGATTAGTGATGTTAAACATCTTTTCATATGCTATCAGCTATTTCTGTATCTTCATTGGAGACATCTTTGTTCAAGTCCTTTCTCATTTTTTTAATCAGGTTTTTTTGATGTTGAGTTGTAGAAATTTTTGTATATTCTAGATATTTTCTCCTTATCAAAGATATGATTTGCACATATTTTCTCCCATTCAGTGGGTTGCCTTTCACTGTTGATTATACCCTTTGCACAGGAGGTTTTGTGTTTTTTTCCCCTGTCTCTACACAGGAGTTTTTGTTTGTTTTTTCTTATTCCATTTTTTTTCCCCTTTTTTTTGTGAAATAAACATTTTTTAATTAGTTTCAGCTGTGCAACACAGTGCAATAGTTATACTTTTTACCCCTCAAAGTGACAACCTCCCTCCCCGAGCCGCCGCCCCACTCTCCCCGCCCATATCATACATATCTATTACAATTCCCTTGACTGCACTCCCCACACTATACTCCACGTCCCGTGACTATATATATATTCAGTTATTGTTGACATACAATATTATACAACATCAGCTTCAGGTGTACAGTCTAGTGATTAAGCCTCTACCCCATCCATGAAGTGGCCTCCCTAACAAGACGTGACCATCTGACACCCTACAAAATATTTACAACATTATTAATTATATTCCCCAAACTGTCTTTCATATCCCTGTGCCAATATTGTAGTTACCTGTTTATGCTGTCTAATCCCTTCCCCTTCTACACAGGAGTTTTTAAGATGTAGTTGTATACCAGTTTCTCCATTTTCTTCTTTTATTGCCTGTGCTTTCGGATGATAGCCAAGAAATCATGGCCAACTCCATCCAATGTCATGACACTTTGCTTTCCCCCTGTTTTCTTCTAAGAGCTTTATTGATGTAGCTCTTATATTTAAGTCTTTGATCAGTTTAGATTTAATTTCTAGATGTGGTGTAAGGCAAGGTCCCAGTTTCATTCTTTGAGAGTTCATCAAGTTTTAAAATGTTTATTGCACTGTTGATAAATAAATAAATAAAGCTACCTTGTGATGTTAAGATTTTGCTAAAGTTTAGATGGTCTTTATTTTACATGCTTTTATTTCTTTTGCAAGTTAAAATAATTATTGAGTTTAGTAATTGTATTAATATGGAGTACTTCCTTTTGAGTGAAGAGTTTTCCTCAATATTCAGATAAATTTCCTTCAAAGAAACAATTGTATTAATTAAAATAAGGTAAATTAAGATTTTGTTTAAAGTGATAGCATGCGTTTTAAAATTAGGATGCTTAAACAAGTCCATGGGGATATTAGAGTAGCCAGCTTAACTTTGTATGTTCTATTTCTGTGATATTTTGAATTTTTGTCCTTTTTTGGGTGCTTTAAGTCAGCTTCATGCCGATATATCTAAGCAGCTTTTGATGTACATGTGCCTGTAAAACATTCACTTTAAAATCACCCAAACATAAAATGAAATTACAATAGTGTACTTCTAATTAAAGATTTCAACCTTGTTATGGTAATAATGGCAGGACAAGAATGAGCATTTAAGGACTAAATTTGGATATTTATTCTTTGACATTTGTCTGTCTTAAAAGAACATTGTTCATTCTAAAGATGTTACAACTGTTGGTTGAAAATAACTTGTGTAAGCTCTTAGGAAATTTAGAACCTTAGTCTAGAAAACCAATTTCTATTATCATAGCCCAATTTCAGAATTAGAAATTAATTTCATTACATAAAATTATATAATCATTTTAAAGTCCTATTATCTCTTTTTAGTACAAGTTTAGTATTTCAGCTAATTTTTAAGCATCATACCAATTTTTTTTCCTATTCCTATAACTCCTCTAAAAGAATAAATTGGTCAACAAAAAAATTTACTCTGGTAGTATTTTAAAGAACCATTTGTGATGTAATTTTTCTCTAATATATAAAACATAGACCAACAAATGTGATACTTAGTTTATCTGTTTAGACAGCCTTTCTCAATTAGTTTAATCTGTAATGCGCTAAAGCAGTATTTCTCAAACATTAGCTTGCATCAGAATCACTTGGAGTACCTGGTAAACCACCCCAGAGTTTCTAATTCAATTGGTCTGGGATGAGGCTGAGAATTTTCACTTCTTTCAATTTCCCAGGTGATGTTGATGCCACTGGTTGGGGGAAGCATACTTTGTGAGACAGTTTTCTTTTAAGTATCTAGGTACTATTTATATACTAACCTTGGGAAAACTGAGAAAACAGTCACTCAGTAATGTTCTCTGTTCTGTTCTGTGGTTAAAATGAGGAACCTAATTGAGAAGAACTAATTTAGAAGGATGTAATTTGTGTGGTAAAATAGGCATATTGTTTAATATCTTCAAGATTTTAAATATTTCACTAGGTAGGTTATGCTTATTATATTTATAAATATTTCTATATTAATTTTTTTAACGAAATAGTATGAATCCTTGCTAGTTAGGTAGCTGCCATTTTCTAGATACATACTTGCTTTATACTTGATTTATAAATACATTTAGAAGCATGAATTAAGTGATGTATTTTAAGCAAAAAAACTTGCTCTATTTCAGAATGTTATGGAATAATTTCAGGCTTTCTTGGAAGTAAAAGATATTTGCTTGATGATATCTTACTTTTTTTTAGAGTGCCAGTGAACGAAATTTCCACATATTAGGATATCACTTTATTTTAACTTTTTGTCTAGAGAAATAGAAAGTAAGTCAGTAAATAAAGCATACCAGAAAGATATTGGTGACAAGAAAAAAAACAAGACCAGTTCAAGACAGTTTGAATTGTCTTAAGAAATAGAAAGATTCGTTCATTGTAAAGAAAAAGTGTGATAGGCAGATATGTAATTATAAATTTCTATAGCTTAATTGTATAATTAAGCTAAAACCTGGATTATTTTTAGCTCCAGTCTTTATTATGTTTTAGTCAGAAAACATCCAATGTGCTTTTGTCATGCAGAGCATTCTTAACTCAATATTTCCCTATTTTTAATTTTAGGGCAGCGGCAATGACTCTCCGCACGGTCTTATTGTCGTTACAAGCACTGTTGGCAGCCGCAGAGCCAGATGACCCACAGGATGCAGTAGTAGCAAATCAGGTAACAGCTGCTTTTGAAAGACTTTCTTCTTCTTACTTTTGAGGCTCTACTTTAGTGCTTTGCAATGTTAACATATGACCATACTAATATTGTAACTAAATTTGGAAATGGTTTCCTTTCTTGTGGTAAGATTATTTTGTCAGATGTAATAATGAAAACTTAATTTATTGACTTTTTTTTTTTTAAGATTTTTATTGGGGATTTGGGGGAAGGGGAACAGACAACTTGCTGTCCTTGTGTTCTTCAGTCTAGTTGTGGAGGACGTTGCTTCACTGGCCCAAGTTGGCACCATCATTGCGCTCTTTCCAGGAGAGGCAGATCAGACGCCGGCTTTTGGACGGCCACTCACGGTGGCTCTTGGCAGCTCATCGTGGCTGCTGGCCGCTCACACTGGCTGCTGGCTACACACGGTAGCCCATGGCAACCCACTGCAGCAGGGGCTGCAGCCTATGCTGACGCTGGCAACTCATGGCAGCCCAGCTCCAGGTTGAGCTGTTGTTCAGCATCTTAGCTGTAGAGGGCAGTGTCACCGGCCCTCATATATGGGATCCGAACCGGGGCCTTCTGGCGTCCCAAGCCAGCTCTTAACCAATGCGCCACTCGGCCAGCCCTAATTTATTGATTTTTAACATACTAGTTTAATTGGGTAGATGGTGATCCTTTTTTTTCTAACATATTATGAAAATTTTCACACACAGTGTCGAAAACTATACAGTGAACACCCATATGCCTATGTACCATCTAGATTCTATAACATTTTACTACACGTGTATCTATCTGTATCCCTGCATAAAGTGATAATCCCTTCCTGATGATAATTTTAACCAGCTCCTGCTGTGGTACTGAAGTGGCATGGTAAAGGTTACCGAAGATCTTATAATTGCCAGATGGAATAAGTATTTTTTAGTTCTGATCTTTGATCTTTAAGAAAGAAGTCATCAGTTATGGCCAGACTGACTGTTTTTGTAAACAATGTTTCACTGGAACACAGCCACATCCAGTTGTTTACTTTCCAGCTATAAGTGACAGAGTTGAATAGTTGTGACAGAGACAATATGGTTTGAAAGCCTGAAGTAATTGTTATCTGGTCTTTTGAGAAAGTTTGCCAACTTCTGCTCTGCACCATTAGGATTTACTGAGCATTCTTGTTTTTTCACCTAGAAATTTTTTTTCTCTTGACTTTTGAGATCCTATTCTCTTCCTATCTTTGTAGTTGTAGTTGTCTCTTCTTTGTTCCTACAATTATTTCTCTTCTTCCTCCTCCCTTTTAAATATAGTTCCTTGGTCCAGACATTGTTCCTTTTACTTTCCGTTTATACATTCACTTAGATTAGCATATTTACACCGATTTATCACCTGTATGTTGATAAAATGTTCAGGTTTGACTTCTTTCCTGAGCCCATAACCTATTTAGAACTGGATACCTCTGGATAAATGTTCGATAGATACCGCAGCACAAAGTTCCCAAAACTGAATATAGAATCTTAAATCCTGCAAACTCATCCATCTGCATAACCTGCAAATCTTATTTTACTTTATTACTAAAAACCTCTTATTAGTAGCTCTACTATCACCTACTTGTTAAGTCCAAATTCTTTAGTTTTCAGAGTTCCTCCATGATTTGAATTGTCTACAAACCCAGCTTCATTCCATAAATACTTACTGTTCCCCAACCTCATGCTCTTTCAAGATGGTGTTCATTTCTACATGTCATTTCACCCAATCTGCTGTGTTTCTTCTGCCTGAGGAAACTTTTCCTCTTAGCAGACTTCTTTTTTCCCTTGAAAAGCTGTTCACTCCTTCTTTTATGTATATCCTTGTTAATATGTTCTATTATTTGTCTCAGTGCTTAGAATTATAGTTTTACATGTTATATATTCATTCATTTTTTGGTAGTCAGAGCATAGCTTGAGTCCCAGCTTTCATTTCCTGTTTAGTTCCAAGCTTGAGAGGTTGGACTCAGAGGTTTCTTCTAGCTCCTAAAACAATCCAATAATTTGACTTATTTTCTTGTTAAGAACGTCTTTTTTTTTTTTTAGCTGAGCCATCCTGCCACCTGTTGGCAGCACAGCTCGGGCTGGGCATCGAACCGCTGTTGCTCGAGAGCTCGTACTCTTGAGCGAGCTCTTAATAAACTGAGCCACTCAGCCGGCCAGTTAAGAACTTCTAAGGTAGAAACTAGATTTATCATTTTGATATAATAAAAGCTCATCAGTCTTAAAATATTAAAGATGTATAAAATACTCTGAAAAAGAAACATTAAAGTGAATTGAAGAGTTATTTTAAATTTTTATATATATATATACACACACACACACACACACACACACATATATAAATTTTTATTTATTTTTTTGTTTTAAGATTTTTTTTTTTTATGGGGGAATTGGGGGAAGGGGAACAGACAAGTTGCTGTCCTTTTGTTCTTCAGTCTAGTTGTGGAGGACGTTGCTTCACCTGCCCAAGTTGGCACTATCATTGCGCTCTTCTTGGGTGAGGCAGATCAGTCGCCGGCTTCTGGATGGCCGCTCACTGCGGCTGCTGGCCACTCACGCTGGCTGCTGACTACACACGGTAGCCCATGGCAACCCACCTGCCATTGCTGGCCACTCACCGCAGCCCAGCTCCAGGTTGAGCTGTTGTTCAGCATCTTAGCTGTAGAGGGCAGTGTCACTGGCCCTCATATGTGGGATCCGAACTGGGGCCCTCTGGTGTCCCAAGCCAGCTCTTAACCAACGCGCCACTCAGCCAGCCCTTAAGTTTATATTTTATTAAGTAATAGTGGAGTATTTGAGAATAAATTTATCTCTTTGCAATGCATATGGGAAGTCTTATCTTTTAAAAGAACTGTATATAGTTCATAATCATCTCAAAACATTTGCTGTGAGTTAGGACTTTGCATAAGGGGTTTTCTGAAGTCACTGTACAATAATACAGCTCTAGGAAAACAGTCAAGGCCAGTTGGTATTCTAGCCTGAGCTGTGATTAATACAAAAGTTAGTCACATTTATTAATGTCCATATTATTTTAGAAGCTAGTAATTCTGTTTAGTTCTGTAATGTTTGCCTTACACAGTGTTTAGAAACATCCCTAATACCTCACTTTACTTAGTTTTGTGCTACTCACATTTGTTGAAATTGGAGATTAAAGTTGATAAATGTTATTTGTGTCTTTGTCTTTCTTTTGTCAATATTATGAATTATAGCTTCAGTTAAAGTCTTTTCTTGTGTGACTTAGTTTGCAGCGGGAAGTAAATCAATCACATTTTAAATCTACGTTGGTTAGAAAAGGCAGGTTCTTAGGCAATTAAGAGCTGAACTGTATTGAATGTTATAACTGTATTGTCAATTAATTTTTTTTCCTTATATAGTACAAACAAAATCCTGAAATGTTCAAACAGACAGCTCGACTTTGGGCACATGTGTATGCTGGAGCTCCAGTTTCTAGTCCAGAATACACCAAAAAAATAGAGAACCTATGTGCTATGGGCTTTGATAGGGTAAGTAACAAAAAGGAGTGTTGATTTTGATATATTGATTGATTTTGTGAGGCTGAGATATATTGATTTATTTTAAATTACTGTTGCAAATCCTTAGATGTCAGAAGTGGTTCAAAAATACTCTAAATTTAATTTTGATAAACTTTCTATTATTAAAATCAGTGATTTTTCTTTTCCTTTTGCTGATTCAGATTATTGGTTTTAAAAGCTTTTTATGCACTACAGTGCAAGGCAACATTAAGAAAAAAAACAAGGTGTGGTTTCTCAGTATAGACGATATTTTAAATATATTTACTTAAGATTTGATATTTTTTGTCTTCATTTTTTCTCTACAGAATGCGGTAATAGTGGCCTTGTCTTCAAAATCATGGGATGTAGAGACTGCAACAGAATTGCTTCTGAGTAATTGATTTACCACCTGTATGAGTGAGAGAGCTGCGTATAGTCAAGCTTGCCCCTTCTTGAGGAGCATCAACATCTGTTATTTTTAGGATTCTGCATAGATTTCTTTTAAACTGGCATTCTTGCCTACTGATGTTATCTAGGCACCATTGGAGACTGAAAAAAAAAGAGAAAAATCCCTGCTCTGTAAATAAAGCTAATTAAACGTCTGTGTAAATTGAAAAAGGGGAAATACTTTAATTTTTTTCTTAATAGTGTAAAAATTCTTTGAGCTAAGGTAAAACTATGGAAAAAACATGCTACTTTAGTGTTTAGCAGTGTACCAAGACTAGCAAGAGTTTGCTTCAGGATTTTGTTGAATAATTAAGGTAATATTTTGAGTGTGTCAGGGCCATTCAAATTGTTGGTGTTGCATCACAGTTACCTTAACTGTTTTTAACATGGATCCTCTGTGCCTGTGAATTTACTTGCATGCTTGTACTTGACTTCTTAGGATGGGTAGCTGAAAATACCACCATTTTAAGCGTTTGAGAATTCTTAAATATGAGATTTATCTAGAATTGAAGATGGTGACCTATTCAGAGCCTTTTTGTCCTTGTCAACAGACTGGGACACCGTATCTATTTTTCCCTCTTACCACACACAGCTAATATTCTAATAGTAAATTTCTCTATATTTGGTGGGGAAATATGCTGAGGGGCAGTATCCCTTGCTCCATTTTCAGGTCGTCCATGTGGAATGTTTTGTCATAGTTCTTCACTCTTAAGACGTTCCTATATAAGTAAGTAAAAATGTAAAAATGGAGCTGTCAATTTTGTTTCTCTTGCAAAACCAGTAAATACTTGATGATGCAGTATTCCCAAGATTTAATGAAAGAACCCAACTTAATTTTTCAGTGTATTCGACATCTTTTCTATTTTTAAACTGATGAAATTTTTCTTTGAGAACTTGAAAGGATAAAATCAACTGTTGGCAGTTTTTTTAGCCTAATTTTGGCATTATAGAGATTGCTTTATTGGATACTTTAAAAGTCACTCTTGCTTGCATTTCCTCCTATTGACACATGAAAGCTGTGTTGGTGTTTTACTGTACATACTTCAAATGCACATAGGAATAGAAGTGTGTTATAAATCTAGCTTTCTTTATGATGTTTCTGATAATATGAGAATTGAAAACTTTACCTTCTCTTGTACATAAGTCAGACTTTCTATTCGTATTGAAGTTACATTTCATTCTAAGTTCAAAAGTTTGAAAATTGTTAGTTTTGCAAGCTCAAACACTAATGTGACCATTTTATGAAGGTTGAAATGGATTTATGCAGGCAGTTCTATACATAGAAACACAGTTCTTATTAAATTTTCAGGACCAATGCAAAATAACAAAAATGTAATGGAATCAGAATGAATTAAAGTAAGGCTGTATATTGAAAGTCATATTATAAAAGGTTTGCTTTCTTTTAAGTGTTATTCTCATCCTAAATTATAATCATTAAGTGTTTGGAAAATAATTTTGAACCATAAATTCAGCATAATTTCATTTGACTTCTCAATAATCTTAGAAGCAATAAAAGAACCATTGTTAAATATATTGTAATGTTAAAGATGTGAAGGTTCTTCCAAAAACTTGCAAGGCTTTCCTAATCAATGGTAAACTCTTCTAGTTGATATTATTGCATACTAAACACAAGTTGCTGTGTTTTTATCCCCTCTATGTTTGCTTAAGCATAAATTTCTTTATACAATCACCTCCTTTCATTGTAGTTTAGTTACTTTTCTAAAGATGCCAAAGGAAACAAGAATTTTCTTTATTTATTTTAAATAACTAAAACTTTGTACTTTTCTTTATATTTTGAAGTAAGGTTGGAATTGTGTGAAAATGTGGACAGTTTTGTTGCATTATTGGTTAGAATTTTTTAATTTTAGTGGAGGGCAGCTTGGTAATATTAGTAATATTTGAGTTATTTTAAATCTCAAACACATCTACCCAGTTTACTATTTGCCTATATTATCAGGGTATATTTAATTGTCCTGTGGTTAGACAAAGGAGAGAACTCAGAGGTTACTAAAGGTCAAGCATTACATACTTAGCTCTAGAAAGCAGCTATAATCTTGCCTTTGATTTTTATGCACATTAGCCCTGTAGGGTATCTACTCATCTTAACTATGTTTCAGCATCCCAGTGCCCAGGAAATTTAAAAGTACAATCAATATTTGGTATGAGAGGTTCTCCATAATGGATTTCATTTCAAAATTTATTTACCTCATTTTCATTTAATGTGATAATCCCCCTTTCCTTTCTGGTATATTTCCCACTGTCATCCTGTTGTTTTTCTTTGTTTAGTTTTTGTTTGTTTTTTCACTTCTCTGCAGGTAGTTTTATTTCCCTTCAAATAGAAATTAAGGCAATTCCTTTTTTTCTCTGGTCTTATATATGTTTTGGGAAAAGGACACTAGAAGTACAGGTATAAGGAAAAGGTACCCTGGTGAAAATTATTTTTGTAATTCTCAATTTGTTGTGATTCGTCAGTTTTAAAGGTCTCAAAAATTATGGTTAAAAATCTATATAGTGATATCCTATTTAGGACAGCCAGATTTGCTAGAACTCACTGATACTCCAATAGGCTTTTATTGTAATCAAGTCTACTTCATGAGTATGTGCCTCACTTTTAAAAGAACGAATAATTAGTTGTATAGTATTTCAGTACAGATTACTGAATATGAATAAATAGCAATTTGTGACCCAAACAAGTATACAGTAAGTAGTATATAAATATTTGAGGAACTTGTACTAAATTAGATGCTCTGAGTTAGCTCCCGCAAATGTTTGGAATTTTGACTGTGGTTTACTTAGACATGCATACTTATATTTGTTTAGATTCTGAGTATTTTGCTTTTGAGGAGAATTATCTATGAAATGAAAGTAAGTCTGATTTGGGGGCGGTGAAAGCATTTCACATTTGTGATTGTTGGTGGCGCTTAAAACTATGCAAAATAATTTTTTAAAGTATAAGAAAATTGGCAGTTAAAGTGGATATTGCTTCTTCATGCACTACAGAATGTAGCATATCATGTTACTGTTTAGGCTGCTTAATAAGTTTATCAATGTGAAAAGCAGATCTTGGCTGTAAATGTATGCCTGATTTGAGCTTTTAAAACTTTGCAATAGGAGTTATGATGATGTTTCCATATTCTTGTAGCAATATAGGAAATAAAGCATTTTGTCGTTTCAAAGATTTAAGATGGATTTGGGCAGGGAAGCGTTGGAGCCAGGTATACTTTCTTGTACATAGATGGAAACAATGGATATGAAAAAGGAAGCCGTCTGTTTACAGTTAACTTTATTTCATGGACTTTTACAAAATGATGTTGTGTTAATCACTTTTTCTAGTTAAAGAAATTTCAATTCCAGGGTATAAACCATTGAAAAATTTGCATTTTCATTCTTTTAGTACCAGTTTGAAATAAATGTTTGATATCAGCTATTTGCTATCACTGGGGAAGAAGGCAACTTGAAGTATTTACTGATAAATAGCCTTCTTCCCAAATGTGACTTTTCTGCAGTGTCTACGTATTATGTCACACGTTCTATTTGCACTGTTGCAATATGGATCAAAAATCTTGTGGCACAGGGGAAGGGGAATGTCAGTATCTCCCTTGTCCTGTTTGTTCTGTTACTGCTTTATTGGACTGATCTACCCTCATAAACCTGTGATCATCACCTAAATGTAAGTTGTGAGTGTGTCACCTGTTGCTTGGTTATTTCAACCATGCTGCTATATGTAATCAGGTGTGGCACAGTTTATCAGTTTTGTTCTAGGGGATGAGTGGATACAAATCATTGCACTGTGCTGTTAACCAATCCTTGTGTGCTTGCAGTTACTTTTTACAGGCATCATAATAAAAGCTAGACTATTTCTTTTGGGGGGGAAGAGACTTATTTAATGTAATTTAAAGACTTTTCCAATAGAAAATGAAATACTATTGAAAATAATATCTATTTTTTAGCTTTCAGCAATTGATGGTGCTTTGTTGTGGTGTCTGCTGGAAGTCTACTGCCATTATAGGGATTCTCATTAACCTCACCAAGAAAGAATCTTGCTTGTTAGTTTCTCTAGATCTCTATTCTAAACCATCTGTTAGTGATGATAAATTCTGTAGGAAGGTCTATTCTGAGCCGTTAACTTCCTGTAAGGGGAAAATGGGTGGGTTACCAGAAAGACCATGAAGCAGGGTGGGCTGTGGGTGGAGGGTTGGGTGTTTGTCTTGAGAATTAAAACTACGAAACACTTTTGTACACAACTGATTTTTTTAAAAATAAACACATTTTTTAAAATGTTGAATTTTTTCCCCCCCTTACTGGGAATTCTTAAAAATAAATGCATGCATGTTTTCCCCTGAAAATGGTTTATATCTTCTTTCTGGGTACTCATCTATGGACAGGCAGTTAAGCCTCAACATTACTTTAACAAGAAAAAAGAACCAGGTAGAGATTTTTCTTAGACAAGTTTCAAAATGATGAGCATATGATAGGTGAAATAAATTATATTGGGTCTTTGAATTTAAAAATGGGTTGAAATTGTTTATTTCTATTAAAGTTATTTGAAAATAGAACAGTATTTGGCTAGGTTCTAATCCAAAATTTAGAGTAATCCAGAGTTAATTGGTACCAAAAGTAATACTATTTATTGTGTTTTCATATGTGCACACAAATCTCTCTGGAAAGGGTGCCAGTTACAGTGGAAAGGACTCTAAATTGCTTCAGAAAGTCCTGAGTCACTATCCTTGCCTCCATTAGTATTGCTAATTAGAAGATGTATTGGTTAGGATTTGTACTAGTTCTTTCACATAGCAAAACTGATTGTTACTTTGTGTCTCTAGGGCATTCATAACCAGCTTTCAGCAGTCCTATGAGTTTCTGTAGCCTGGAAGTGGAATTACTCCTGACTGGAACACAAATATGAAGTGCTCTTTCATGGAGCAAGCTGGATCTTTACATGTTAAAAATCAAGGATAACAAATGGAATTCAAGTGAGCTCTCATGCCAGTCCCTAGCAAAGGATGGTCAAATTTAAAGGGTAGTAAATACTTGGTACATGTTTTGATTTTGGTCATCAAAGAATTAAAGATTTTCAGTGAATAACATGAATTCTCTAATAAAGCTTTTAAGCGTCCTATATTACACTATCCATTTATTCATGTTGTAATGTTCATTTCACCCATTTAATTTCAGTAAAAATACATTAAAGCACAACTTTATTATTTTACTTAATCTCCCTATTATAAATTATCTTTTAATAAGATTGAACTAAAGTCAAGAAAGCCAAGGTGTTTAAATACTCAGTTTGCAATACTTGTAAGCGCCTTTTTTCAATATACATAGCTAATACAAGGCAAACACTATAAAATTGGACAGAATTTGAGAAACCCAGAGTATATTTCTTACTGAGTTAATATACCTAGTACTTTGTATACATAAAAATTTTGCTGCATGTACAGAAATATACCTAACGATTTAAGAGCAACTAGCAGTACCTTTTCTTCACTTACACAGCTCACAGTCAGCTCTTTAATATTGTATTCTGCAGCTCTTCATTTTCAATATGTGAGATATATATTCCTTGCTATAAACATTATTTGTATTATATTGATAGATGAATAAAACGACCTGTCCTTAGCAATATTGAGGAACAGATTAATGACATTCCACTGGTATCTTCTAACCATATTTATAAAATTACAGAATTTTAAGGAAAAGGGGGAACTTAAAGTCTTTTTCACAGTATTTTTTTTCTTTTTTAAAAATAGATTAAATAGTTTGGATACTCAGAGTCACAGGTTATTTTTAGTGGAGATCCCATAATATTGCTATTTATATGTGCCTACTAAGTTTGGTAGCATGTTGAGATCTAAAATACTATTCTTGTTTTCCTTAAAAATAGGATATATTGAGGGATCATTTGCAAGCATGAAAAGGAAAACCAGTTCAGGTGGGAGCGAGGCCTTCAAGGAAAGTATCCAAGCCAGTTCTCATGGTGTGAATTAAACAGACTGTTTTTGCGAAGTAGTTTCAGCTCTTTTTAGGGTGCCAGGACTTCTGCTGAAGTTACTTGAGCAGGACCAAACATACTTTCTTCCCATTTGGGGACTAATAGAATACATAGTGTTTTTGGTTTATGAGGTCCATAGAAAATTATCTAAACCCCAAAATCGGGCCCAAAACATTTTATTCCATTAACAGACACTTAAGTTCTTAGTTGCATACGGTCATACTTGTGTGTATATGAGGTATAGCTCCTCAGGTTAACCTTAAGATGTCAGGACAGAGGTAAAATTAAAAGGCAAAGTTTTTATATGGAAACATTCAGGATAATAGTCTGCTGAGGTAATGATTATTAGCATGGCTGATTTCCTTCATTTAAAAACTCATTTTAAATGTATTTTTTAAAATCCGTGGTAGTGAAGAGTTCATAGTGGAAAATCAAGGATCCTCTTTCTACCTCTAGCCACAGAGAAAATAGCTTTTAACTGTCTCTAATTTTTGCACTTAGATTACCTCCAGGTTATTGAGCAACACACCTAGCCCTCTTTAAGTATTTCTAGTAACAGTAAGTTAACTACATTTCTGTTCCATCAATTTTACCTAGTATCGATTCCTTATTTTTTATCCCTAATCTCTACACTTAGTAATAGAATTTAGGTTGAGGGAGGGCTGTGGCATGCACAAAAGCATTGAGAAAGTAGGGTGACTGGAGCAGGGTAGGTATAGGCAAGGGGCACCTACTCACTGAAGCAGAAGCTTTGAAACTGCGGTAGAGATAAAAAGTAAGTGAACGAGGAGATTGTGATACCTAGATTGGGGTAGCAATTACAAGATGAAGACATGTAGAGATTATGTCTAAAGCGATCATTGATACAGTTGATTTAGAGTCCTCAGTAGCAAGTTTTAATTTCACACCCTACATTCCTGAAGGCAAGACACTCCTTGTTATTTACCTTTACCCATACTAGATTCCATGGGCCATCACTGTAATCATGTCCCTTGCTTCCTGACAGTCCTTGCAAAGTCTCCTTCCTTTGCCTAGTGTGCTATACCTGCATAGCAGAATTTACCTGGAGAAAAAGGGCTGACTATTGTCACTGTACTGAGATTTTTCAAGTGGGTCTTTAGCACTTAGCTTCAATCATATCTCCCTGATCATTTCAGCCCTCCATTCTCTGAGGTGACAATTGCACAACTTACTTGCCTTGAATCTCCAACAGCTGCTGCTAATCCCTCACAGCTAATGAATTAATTTCTCGAATTACTGAGAGAGAAGCAAGGAGCACGACATCTTTTCATCAAATGTATTGGCCTGCCTGCATCTGTTATATACTTTGTCTTCTCATCTATTCAAGGACTTAGCTTCCATCTCTTTTCTCCTGCGTTGCTAATTTCTCCCTTTTTACATCAACATACAAACTGACTATAGTATCTCCATCTTGAGAAAAAGGAAACATTTGTAGAATCCATAGCCCATCCAATCCAGGACTCATGGAGTCCATCGCCATGCTTTTAACCATTATTTGGGACATTTCAAACTGCTGTTTAAAAAAAACTGTTCCCTCTCCAGCATCTCCCAGATCGCTGCTTCCTCTTATTTTTCCTTAGGCAGTTGGTACCATCATTTATTCAGTTGCTCAAGCCAAACCCCTCAGAATCATCCTTCACTCCTTTCTCTGCCTAATGGCCCATATTAGCACCTCTTATTAGCTTGATTATGAATATATTCTGGTTTTGATTTCACTTACTGCTGTCTGCTACACTCCTAACCAAGTTACACATTTGCATTGACCTCGTATGTGACTGTCTACTACTCATGAGCTCCTACAGTCCATTAGCCACATAGCCATGGTGTTTTATAAAGTGCTATTTGCCTGCTCAAAATGGCTTTCAAATAAGCTTAGAATAATAGGCGTGCTCCGTGCCATGCCCACAATACCTACCCCTCTACTGATCCTCTGGCCTCCTCTCCCTGGCTCACCCTACACTAGACATACTAGCCTATTGTATTGGTCAAACACACCAGGCTTCTTTCAATCTCAGGCTCGTTGAGTAGCCTGTTCTCTTCCTGGAATGCTTTTCCCCCAGATCTTCACGTGTTCTGCTTAACCATTTTACTTATATTGCTGTTCAAATGTCAGGCCTTCCATGATCATCCTAACAGCTTTTGCCTCTATTCAGCTCTCTGCCTTCTGATTAAATTTTCTTTATGGGACTAGTAACCTGCTTTTTAATTTTGTCCAACGTGAGGATTGGGACTTGACTTATTATCTCCAATGCCCAGAATGTTGCAAGGAACATAGAAGAGTACATTAGGTCAGTCATCAGTAAATACTTGTCAAGTGAATGAATGAATAGAAGGGTAGTAAATAAAGAGGACGTCTCAACGGGAAAAAAAGGCAGGCAGAAACCCAAAGCAAGAATATGGTAAATATACTGGATCAACCATAGGTTTGACAACTTATCCCAGAAAGAGAACAAACCACCAAGAGAGAATAGAAAAAATGAGGGGTAATACCAAATAAGTAGTCGATTTCAGAGCTGAAGGATACAAATTTCCAGATTGAAGGGTCCACTGGCTCAGTGCAGTCAATGAAGAAAGACACCTGTCAGACTTCAAAGAACGGGGCAGAAGAAAGGATCCTAAAGTTCCCTTGAAAAAATAAAGCAAGAATAAATAGCATTAGATTTCTTAGAAACACTGTTTTAGAAGACAGTGGAACTGTTCTTTAAATGCTAATTAAAATTATTTTCCATATAGATTTTTATTCAAGTCATTTGTTAGGATGGAGTAAAACCTTTTTAACATTCAGAAAATATACGCCATATTAAGTTGCATGTAGATATATTGTTACAGAAAAACAAAAATATATCAAGAAATAAAAATACTCGGGGTCAAAGAAACACGGATCTAATTCAGGGGAGCAATACAGGAAAAACCCATGATGACAAGAAGACACCAGCTTTAGAGCAGCGCAGGGCTTTGGGAGGGAGGACTCTTAGTAAAGAGGACCTGATAAAAGACTCAACATGGAGACACATTATTGCCTTATTACATAACTTCATTTATTCTTTGTGAGTGGTACCCCTGGAGTTTTACAGTTATGTCTTACGTGGATGGAACAACCAAAACTGCACAAGAGAAAGTTCTTAACTAAGACAAAACTATAATAGTAATGAATAGCTGACATTTTTTGAGTATATACTGTCAGTAATTGTTCTGAGTAATTATCCATGTATTTAAACATTTTATAATAGTGTAGATCCTGTCCCCATTTTGCAGATTAGGCAATGGGCAGAAAAATTACTTGCTCTGAGTTAATGCTAGGAAGTGCCATACCCAGGGTTTGAACTCCCAGTA